GCTTGGCCCAGTGCTTTGCCGTGGATCTCTGCATCTACTTCCATCAGTTACTGGACAAAGGCTCTCTGATGACAACTAGGGTAGTCACCAATCTGATTACAGGAGATGGCCAGTTCAGGCACACGCTCCCATACTGCTAGGAGTCTTAGCAAGGGTCATCCTTGCGGATTCCTGGGAGTTTGCCTAGCACCAGGTTTCTCCCTAACCCTGCAATGGTCCCCGCTATGGAGATGTTTTTCTCTTTCATTACTCTCCCTCTCTGTCCTGCCCCCAACCGGCCTCCCTCAAGTTCCCATCCCCCCATCTCCACCCCACCCCCATCATGGCCCTCAACCAAAAGAATGGATAAAGAAAATGTGGTACATTTACACAGTGGAGTATTACTGAGCTGTAAAAAAATAATGACCTCATGAAATTTGCAGGCACCCAGTCCCAGAAAGACAAACATGGTATGTACTCACTCATAAGTGGATATTAGGAGTAAAGTATGGGATAACCAATCTCCAATCTCCAATCCACAGCCCCAGAGAGACTAGATAACAAGGAGGGCCCAAAGAGGGATGTAGCATGAATCTTAACAGGTCTTATTAATAAAATCAAACCTGAAGCCAGGTATTGGGGTGAATGCTGGAAGATCAGAGAAGCAGAACAAACCAGAGCTTCCTCACCTCAACAGTTCCTCAGCTGATCCTGTTTCCTCAGACTGGAAACCTCTGTGTCCTCATCCGAATGGATCTCAGCTGAACTGCTGCTAAAAGCCTAAAAGCTTAACCAGGCTCTAGTTCCTGGTTTTCATGCCTTATATACCTTTCTGCTTTCTGCCCTCACTTCCTGGGATTAAAGGCATGAGTCCCCATGCCTGGCTGTTTCCAGTATGGCTTTGAACTCACAGAGATCCTCTAGAAGGCTAGGATTAAAGGTGTGAGTGCCACCATTTTCTGGCCTCTATGTCTGTCTAGTGGCTGTTCTGTTCTCTGACCTCAGATAAGTTTATTAGGGTGCAAGATATATTGGGGAACACAACACCACCACAGAGGGATGCATGGATTTCCCTGGGAAGGGGAAATAGAAGAGATCTCCTGGGTAAAAGTAGACCTTTTGGGTTGAGATCGGGTGCATCCTGATGCTTTTGTGTGCAAGTGTGGCCCAGCCGAGAAAAGCCATTTTATCATGTTGATAAAAACATACTAAACAAAGCCCTGTAATTCTTTTAAAACACTGGAAGCATCCCCCTGCGTTTCTAAATCAAGGTCTATGAACCCACAGAGAAAGCAATCCGAAAGAGTCCAGAGGGCTTCAGAGACAGCTCAGTCAGTAAGGTGCTTGCCTTGCAACATGAGGACCTGGGTTCTGAACCCCAACACACACATAAAATGTTGGACAGGCCTATAATCCCAGCCCTGGGGGCCAGAGACAGGCAGATTTCTGAGGCTCACTGGCCAGCCAGTCTTACCAAACCTGTAAGCTCCAGCTTCAGTGAGAGATTCTGTCTCCAAAAAATTAGATGGAGAGTGAGAGAGGAAGACATGGATATTGACCTCCACATACGTGTGCACACAAGTGGGTGTGTAAACATGTCTATGCAAACATAACACACACACACACACACACACACACACCAGTCAGAAAAAGAGAAATCCGAAAGTGCGTCCTTGCTTCTCTCTCTCCCTAGATGTTTGTTTTGTTCTGGTTTGATGTGAAGATGCCAGTGTGGGGGACAGTCTCTCCGTGGAGGGAGGATGAGTAACACTCGCTGCTCAGTTTGTTGACTGCGCAAACACGCTCAGACCCAGTGGAGGATGCAGCACTCGTGAGGGCCTAGGTGTCAAGAATGGGAAGAGAAACAGTGAAAGACCCAGCCACCTTCGTCCCCTGCCCACAAGTTCACAGTGAAGCTGGAGGAGCATGCAAATAGACACATCCCTGCCCTTCTGGTGAGTGTCGTAAAGGGTGTGAACACACACACACACACACACACACACACACACACACACACACCACATCTTCTGCCTACAGCCTCTCTCGTTTCCTGGTTGAGTTTACTCCTGGGGCATCCTCACCACCATCCGTACATGCCTTTCATTCTATGCCCTCAGAATTCATATAAGATGATATCCACCGCTCTTTGGCAAGCAACTTGATGATAGTTGATCTGTTTACAGCACTGTGCAGACACAGCCACTGTCTAGTTCTGAGACACCTTCACCACCCCAGCACACCCTACAAAACGCCTAAAATAACACAGTAAGCAGTTGCTCCTCCGGCTCTGCTCTCTCAGCCACCTGTCTGCCTTCTGTCCCCCTAGAGTCACCTCCCCGGGGTTTACATACGAACAGTCACCCATTGTGTGGCACCATTGTCTGGCACCGTGTTTGGGGGTTTCATGGTTATCAGGAATGTCATGTCTGCCCTTTGCTCCTTACCATGGCTGAATAATATTCCACCACGTGGATAGCTAACACCGTGCCTTCATCTGTTCGGGCAGCTGAGTTCTGTCCACCTCCTGACTGTGGCGCAGTGCTACAGTGAACACTACTCCATTCCTGCCTTTCCTGGAGCTTTTCTTTAGCTACCTAGGTTGTTTAGAATGGATATGCTGAGTTACATAGTAATTCCACGTTTAACCTTTCTCTTTCTTCACTTCATTAACTTGTTTGTTCGCTTGCTTGCTTATTTTGAGGCAGTGTCTTACTATGTATCTCTAGCTGGCTGGCCTGGAACTCCCTATATGGAACAGAATGGCCTCAAACAGAGAGACCCCCCTGCCTCTGCCTCCTAAGTGCTGGGGTTAAAGGGCATTGCACCACCTTTAAGGTTTGAAAGTATGGCCAATCAGGGTTCCTCAGCGACATCATCCTTTAATAACGCCACAAAGCCTTGTGGGTAGGTGCCTCCTAGTAGATGTGGGTACATGCCTTCCAAGAACTGGACCTGGATGTTAAACACATTCAGCCTCTCTGAAGGCCTCTGCTGACTTACTTGGTCAAAGCTGAGCTAAGAGTACTAAGGTCAGAGACATGATCCCTATACCGAGCAAAGTGGATAGACTGTGCCCTGGACCCTACACTCTGCCACCCAGGAGTGTCCTCTCCTCTTGCAAAAACTTGTCCACGAGGAGAGGGGCAGGACAACCGTATACTTTTATGGGTCTGCATAAAAGAAGCCAATGAGGCTGTAACTCAGTCAGTAGAGAGTTTCTCTAGCGTGCCCCACACCCTGAGTCTGATCCCAACACAGAATAGACTGGGTGTGATGTGGCATGCCTGTTAAACTCAGCACTGGCCTGTAACATCAGCAATCCAGTAAGTAGAGACAGGAGGATCAAAAGTTCAAGGTCATTCTCCACTATATAGTGAATTGGAGAGACCCTGTCTTAAAAAAAAAAAGAAAGAAAGAGAGAAAAAAGTTTACTGAAAGCACGTGGGATTAATTGGCATCACAGGATTACTTACTCCCAACCTCTCATCATCTAGTTTCTGTGGACTTGATGGGTAATTGCAAACGCTGCCCAGAGCCTCAGTTTCCTCCTAAAACAGGGCCAGTACTCTTTACTCTACAGAGTCAATCACACACAAATGCCTCATGCATGCATGTTCTGGTTGGTTCTGGTAGACTTCCAAGAAATGCTCTTGAACCTAGAGGGTGAGTATCTGTCTCATCTAGAGCCCCCCCACCCCCCTGGCTTCTGCAGTTCTCTCTCAGACCCTGTCCCCAGGTTGACTGGGCTGGAATGGTGGCACACTGTTGGCGGGGTTACACTTGGCTCTTTGAAAACCTCCTATTTGCATGGAATGAAGCTTGCTATGGTAACAAGGTCTGGTGGCTGGAATCCAGGGCCCCACTGAAAAATGCAAAGCCTGTGTGTGCACTGGGAGAGAAAGGAGCCAGGAGGGGCTTATCCAAGCTAAGGTTACCTCGATTCTTTTCAGAAGGGGGAGTAGGTAAACCGAGGCAGCCGGGTTCAACATTCCTACCTCAGAAGGAGGAGAGAGCAAAAAAGCCCGGCCACACCTCCCAACCCTCCTCTGGTCTCAACTCCCTACTCCCACTAATGTTCGGGCCATCCAAGCAGCTTAGGACCAGGTACAAGCTAGTCCTCCATCCAGCGGGTGCACACACTCGCTCTCCGAACTGCGGGCAGGCCCAGCACCACTGGGCAGGCTGGGGAAGGACAGCGCAGGTCAAGCACTGAGGTGGGGGTGGAAGGTGGCAGACTCACTGTCCACTAGCTCTCCTCCCCGCTGGGCATTTCATCCCTGTAACTGGCAAAGGAAGAACTCCACTCTTGAGCTCACTCCAGCAGCCCCCTCCCTTGGCCCTCCATCCCACGCTCCCCTCCAAGGGGCCCCCTATGCAAGCACCCCTCTCTGCTAAGCATACACCGCCTCCTCCGCGGCGACCCCAGCCCAGAGCGGGGCAGTAGTTGGCCGGGGCGGGGCTGCCCACCGCCGCAGGGAGGGGACAGCGGGACAACCAGGACCCCGGACGCACCCCTAACCCTTCGCTTGGAGGTGCCACCTCCGACCTCACACGGGTGCCGCCCTCTTCCCCCACTCTCCGGGGATGTGTCCAGGAGGTGGGGGGCTCACGAAGCCAACGAGGTCCCTAAGGTCCCCGGCAGGGCCCCCTCCCGAGCAAGCCGCGAATGGTAGGCTCCACTCGGAGAGCGCCTGGCCCGGGCGGCGCACGGTGTCCTCTGCTCGCAGCTCGCCCGCCCGCCCGCCCGCCGGGGTCTCGCCGTTCGCGGCTGCTCCTCCTCCTCCCTTCCTCCTCCTCTTTCTCCTCCTCCTCCCCCCGCCGCCTCGCCACCGCCGCGGCTCGGGCTGGAGGCGCCGCTGTCATTCCTGCGCCGGAGGAGCCGGCGCTTGCCGGTGCCTGGGGGTCGGGGCGCGGGGGAACCCGGGCCGCTAGGGTGACCCAACAGGTAGAGCCCGGGCCACGGCCGGTCACGCGCCCCCCGCGCACATCATGCAGCTCTTTGTCACCTCTCTCGCCCCCAGGCCAAAATCCTGAGCATGATGGAAGACAATAAGCAGCTCGCGCTCCGCATCGATGGGGCGGTCCAGTCGGCCAGCCAGGAGGTGACCAACCTGAGAGCCGAGCTCACGGCCACCAACCGGAGACTGGCGGAATTGAGCGGCGGAGGCGGCGGCCCCGGCTCGGGCCCGGGAGCTGCGACCAGCGCCTCGGCAGCAACGGTGACGGTGGCTGACTCGGCGGTGGCGACCATGGAGAACCATCAGCACAGCGCTCAAGGTAGGAAGCGCCCGGCGCCCGGGGCGGGGACCCAGAGCGCGCTCACCGGTCCCAGTGGTGGCCCGGCCCGCAGTAACCCCCATGCTCGCAGCGAGATGGCTTTGCATTGTGGCTCATAACCCTTTTCGCCTGGCCATGTCTACCCGCTGCTCCCTAGCTTGGGAGTTGCAACGCGGTTGTCATTAACGCCAAACCGGGTGCAGTGTGCACGGGGGTCACACGGTCACACTAGCCCTGGCCGGCTAGAAGCTAAGCGCCGCTGGCCGGTCCTTTTCAGGAAGCAGTGGAAAGTGCCCTTTGGAGAGCACACAGACCCTAGCTCCGCCGCAAACTTTTCATGCCCTCTCCCCACGGTCCTCCCACCCCTCCAGTTCCAAAGGCCTCTGAAATGATTCCCCGGGGGAATCTTTGGGCTCTGTTGCCCTGGAGGAGTGGACTTGCTTGCACTTTTCTCCACGGACGCCAAGCCCCTTGGCTAGGTTGCATCTGGAGTTTATTTTCTCCAGGCTTGAGATGGTGCAGGCAGTCCTGTGGATGCTTGAGTCTGCAGGGAGTTTTACATTTCCAGCAACTATACAGGGAAGAGCGCTTCCCAGGGAGAAATCACGGATCTCAAAGGTTGATTGATGGCTGTCTGGAGGAATGAAGGCTTGAATGGTGGGTTGCTAGGAGCCCCTGTTTGAAGGACCCTCTGCAGTTTAGAGGAAGGGAGAAGAAAAGACAGCTGGCCAGTGCTGACATTGAGAGATGACACTTCTGAACCCCCAGCAAGGGTTAAAGGTGTGAAATAAGGTGGCCCTGCCATGCATGCTGTTTGTTTTCTGAGAGTTGGAAAGCAGAAGCTGAAGCCAGCTTTTCAGGATCCCCCCCCCCCCCCCCCCCCTCCTTTCCCTCCTCCTGCCCACAGGTTTCCCCCCAAACCCATGCCCCCCTCCTTCGCCCTTTAAGAAGCAATACCGCTGCTTATTGCTAAAATCCAAAGGGATGGAGAGAAGAAAAGAAAAAACAAAACAAAACAAAAAGCCCTCCAGCCCAAGAGGACCACTGTATAAATGTGTCACTTGGAGTGTAAGGTACCAATGCTCAATGGTTCAGAATGGTTTTCTGGTTCTGCTATCTCAACAGCTCCTCCTGAGTGTTGAGAGAGACTGTTTTTTCATGAGGATGCCTTCACTGCTTGCTCCATCGGTCTGTTTTGGCCTTACCTTCACAGGAAGGTATGCCTTTGCCCTGTGAGATTCGCAGCTTCAAAATCTGCAGTTTTGTGATTTCTAAGTCAGACCCTAACTTGGTACTTCCGGAGCCTGTTGGGCGTCTTTAGGGATCGTGGATGTAATTTGGCCATGATGTAATGGTGAGAAGGTGGTGTGGCCCTGGTGTTTGCTACAGGGTTTTCAAGGTTGGCATCTGGTTGTTCTTGTCATCCATGCCTGGTTATGTCATCGTGTGAGAAAGAACCGTAGGTGAGAGGAAAGCAGACTGCAGGCTAATGCTTTGGTTTTGCAAGCAGCGACTGTTCTGACATTCCAGAACTAGCTAAGAGCTGGCGTTTGGCTGTGGAGCAAGAGCCCTAGGAAGGGACGTGGAATGATGCTGGGATAGTCCCACCGTCCACCCGTTCCTGGATGGGGAAAAGTTCAGTGGCTTTTCATCTGAGTTCTGGGTGCTCTGTGGACTGGGCATGCTAAGGAATCCAAAGTACTCTGCTGATGCACTTCACTTGAAAATCGAAAGACCTGGGCATCATGACGACTAAATGGTTGTGGAGGCACAGCAGGGGGTGTTTCCTTTTTCTTTTGTGTGTGTGTGTGTGTGTGTGTGTGTTTTTTTTCTAATAAGATGCACAAGGCTGCAGACATGGAAGTGGTTTTGGGATCACTCGGTATCTTTAAAAACACACACCACCAGTAGCTCCCCTATGCCCAAGGGAACCTTCGCACCTGCCTGATGCCAGTGTCCATGGCAATGGGTAGGTAATAGGCAGACAGAGGAGGGGGGTCTTGTTGTTTCTGTCGGAACTGCTGGTGGTTTTCCGAACTGGTACGATGGGCCCTTGGTGATTGTATAATCAGAAAGTGTGTTAATGATTTTTAACTGAACTCATCTGTGGGTAACATGTCCATTTAAGTTAGTATGGACTTTACGTGGGTGAGGTGGGTGGAAGGAAAATGAGACTCCTGTATAAGACCACTGGGCATTTACTTATCTACAGTAACAGCACTCAATCCTGGAATGTATGTGTACATACACACACAAACATATGTGTAATACATACATACATACATATATATGCATATATGTATATGTCATTTAGTCCTTGTGAGCTTTTGCTCTCATTTGTTTTGTTTTTCTTGGGAACTCTGACACTGTTTTGCTAGAAGCCCTGAGCAGAGCTGGTCTGGTCGCCTCTTTTGCCACAGCTCCTGTTATATTCCTAAAGGGGAGCCTTGAGTTGTTGCAAGCTAGTTTTCAAGTATGGTGGGTCACCTTCCCCCTGTCCTTCCTGACAGGGCATCAGGGTGGTGCAGGGAAGCCGGGGACCCTTGAGGCTTTTTGTTCCTCCAGGTTAGAGTCACTCATGTGTTTTCTTTTTACCTGCACTGGAGCCGCTCAGTGGGACCAGACCCTAAGAATGCCTGATGTGGTTAAACTGTCATTTCTCAAATCGAGGTTTGGAACGAAATGAGTGTCTTTCAAAATGCAACTGTGTAAGTCACTTTCGGCTAAAGTGCATTATGTACACATTAAGAGCACGCTAATATGCCTTTGACAATATTGGCACAGATAATTACAGGAAAAAGCCACCTTTCCCATCCTCACCCCCCCTCCAAGAGACGGTCAGAACCATTTTCAGTTTATAAAAAATTCTTTTTGGAAATGAATAGAGGAAGTGCATCACTCCGCTGTTGGGTACTTTTGTTGCAGGCGAGACCACTGGGTTGATGCCTTGTGATAAAGCAAACCTGGGTTTTCCTAGAGGGTTAAGGCAGCATGCCGTTTAAACAAAACATTAACTCACTTGGGTACCCTGTGTGAGCGGGCACGGTTGCTATGTAACAGGATCTAGGAAGTGAACTGCTGGAAATCTGGGCTCTCGGCACTTCGCAGGATCTGCTTTCGGAATTTCTGTTGAAAGAGCTCTTGGCTGAGGGCCATCGCCTCTCTCCTGTTGCAAGTGAGTTGGATAATCCCAAGGAGGACTGTAGGCCAGCCTCGCCAAGGGCATCCGTGCGGGTGGCACATTTCACAGCCCCAGAGGCCACCTCTTAGGCTGATGGGGTCACAACTGCTTTTGACAGGTGGACAGAAAGAGGGCTTGGTTAGAGAGAGAGAGAGAGAGAGAGAGAGAGAGAGAGAGAGAGAGAGAGAGAAAGAAAGAAAGAAAGAAAGAAAGAAAGAAAGAAAGAAAGAAAGAAAGAAAAGAAAAATACAGAGCTAAGCATTTGTTTCAATTCATCTTATTGTGGGAAGGGGGTTGTTTGAAGTACATTTCTAAACTGTTTTCCTAGCGGTACCAGCTCTGGGAAAGTGTATTTAAAATGCTTGCTGTTCTTTGAAGGCAAAATATAGCAGTTTGCTTCTCTGAGAATGTTTTATCTGATGAATGACTAATATTAGATTCAATTGGCTGCTTTGCTGTGCATAGAATAAAACAATTAAGAGCCATTACACCCAATTTAAATAGGTGTTAACTGTATAGAACATAAAATGCTTACACCCAGTAGGATGGATGCTCATGGTCTTGAGTTCATTGTTTATTTGCGGTGTGTGCACATGGGTGCCCGTGGATGCCAGGAGTCAGCACTGGGTGTCTTCCTCAGTCCTTCTCTACTTACCTCTTGAGACAGGGTGGCTAACTGAACCTGGTGCTCACTGATTGGCTAGACTGTCTTGGCCCGTGAGCTCCAGGGACCCTCCTCTCTCTGCCTCCCCAGTGCTGGGATTACAGGCTCCTGCTGCTGAGCCTAGCTTTTGTCCATGGATGGTGAGGATCTGAACTCCAGTGCTCATGCTTGTACAGGGAGAGCATTTCACTGACTGAGCCCTCTCCCCAGCCCCCACTGGCAACTAGAGGTACAAAAAGTACCTCTCTTTGGTATTGGGGAGAGGGGGCAGTCCCTGTCTGCTACAGTTGTTAAAATGGGAAGATGGGAAGGATCAATCTCCATCTTTGTAGATGTTCATAACTACACACAGGTTGTATTTCTCCAGGCAGTTGCCTGGATCTCGGCATCTCCTCACTACACAACACTGCAAATTCTTTGGCGAAGTTTGCATTACCTTAGGAGTGATGTGTGTGAGGAATCCACAGAGACACTAGACATGGTTGTTCTGCAGGGTGACTTCTGTGCACTGTCACCCACTCCTCGGTTCATTCAGATCTTGCTCTCTTTTCCCAGGGGTTCTATCTGCTTCAAAAGAGGGGATTTCCTAATGGCAGACAGGGTGGAACCCAGGCATGTGGCAACATCTCTGAGGCCCCGCGTGTTTTTGTCCCTGCAGTGGGCTGAAGGGCTATATCTTTGCCTAACGTGGAAGGTGGGGCTTTACAGTTCCTCCTAAAAGTTACTGCCTGGAGTCACCAAGAGATCGCTTACACAGGACGCAAGCATGGTTGAAATTAGTTATTGATTGCCTATCATTTACTATCTTTCCTTTGTCTTTAAAGATGCCTTGGGAGGGTCCCTGGAGCCAAATTTCTGGTTCTGGTTCATTTTGTGTTGTGTTTGTTTCCTGATTTTTTTGTGACTTTCCAAAACTTCTTTGATGTCAAGCAGAAGTCTTAGCTGGTCTGGTTTTCACAAGAGGCCTATTTGCATACATATCATCTCTGTGTGAGGTGACCAGTGTCTCTACACCCTCCTCCCCCTCTCTCCTCAACCCCAATGGCACCTTTTAGGGATCCCATAGGGTTCTAATTTGTGACTTCCTGGCTGCCAGGGAGTGGGTGGCAGATGGGCTTGGCAGGTGAGAATTGCTCCCTGGAAGTCTGCCTGCCC